ATTAGACATTTCTATATATTTCAACCTCAGCCGCAGTATTTTTAATTCATTTATTGGATTCAAAGATTTTTTTTTTGCATATGTGCTTTTATTGGTCAGCTGACAGTGAAGCTGAGGCAGGAAACCAAAGGGAGAGAGGAAAATAAAATCCTTTCTGCAATGTTTTTAATGTTACTATTTCTTGTTGTGTTTGTCTTTTTATGTGTATTTTTTACCTTTTGTGAACCATTTAATCTATGAAATATGCTGGATGAAGAATGTTGTTTTAATAATAATACGTTCTTGTTCTTGTCTTAAGTTAAATCAATGAACTAAATATCTTCTTGAAGTTATATTTCATGTACATTAAGGGAAGCGATTGCAAGAATAAGCTTTAGTTGTGAATCTAAACACCAGCTGATCGAGGCCACGCTGCTGTTTTCCTTCTCTCTGCTCGTGTTTGAAGCCTTCAGCAGCTGAGGTTTTCAAGACATTGGCTTCGTGTTGCTGCAGTGGTTTGGTGTTAGTTGGCATTTCCTCTCGCAGCTGGCAGTGCGATGCCAAAGTTTCTACTGCTCCAGGCAGTGTGCTCGCTTTGTTTATTGATCGAAAGCGCTTCATTTTCTAATCCCAAAACAAAAGCGGAAAGAATGACCCTTTAGTATCGGTCACAGTTACAGAGGACGGTAGCAATCAAGTAAGCGAGACAATGAAATGTTCCAGATAATTTGTCAAAACATTATTTCATGTTATAAAACTTTAAAAGCAGTTTTTTTTGGCTGCAGTGTTTCTCCTTTTCCTCTAAATGTACGTGGCTGCCACATTCACAGAAAACCTTTACATACATTTGCAAGGATTGTTTGATTTTAAAGAAAGCTCCATCGACTCTAATCTCCTGTGAACGTCCGTCTGAACCAAAGCAAACATGAGAAAGGAACAAAAAGCTTTAAACAAGCTGATGAAATACAGACTGGCTGCACGCCGCCGGTTCATGTGACTGTCAAGTAACAGAAAGGTCAAAGGTTAGAGCGCTGCAGCAGACAACAAACCCCCGACTGGAATCACATGTTAATGATTGAGGAAGTGAAATTCTCACTTTTAGCACGACAATATTTCTAAATGTCAGAATTTACATGAGTGGAAATTCAAATAGAGCACACGTGTATCTTACATCACTATTATCAGCATGTATTTTTAACTAAAGTCTTAGAACTCATGTGAACAGATGCCGGTAGTGCTGATGTGTGTAAGAGCCACTCACCTATATTGGGATGATTCAAGATCTTCATTATTCTAACTTCTCTGAAGAGCTGAAAAGAAAGAGAAAAGAAATGTTCACAGTTCGGTTTCGAGATTCAATATTTTGTTGACATTTTGACACAGTCACCAGGAATATTTCTGCTGTGTAAAAACAAAGCTCAGGCACAGCACATACAGTAACAACACCGACAAATACAAACAACTACGATATTGAAAACAGAGAATAAATATGATGCTGTGACGCTGTTTACACACAAGTTCCTAAAGTTTTAAACAAAGTGCACGGACTGCCTATCACAGGGCATACTTGTTTGTCTTTACAGTTGGAGCACTTTGTGTGGAAATTAGTATGCACACAAACCATCTCAGTGGACTTTTTGGACTATTTTCAGAGTGTCAGCTTGTCCTATTTCTTCCTGACATGAAATATACAACAAAGCGAAAGAAACTGAGGGAAATACAGCGTCAAACAAATACGTGTGATAAGAGTAATTATACCACACGTGGAAGTATTTCCAGTCACATTAATTCAACATCAGAGTACAGAGTTCATGATAATAATAAAGTTAGTTACTTATTAAGTGGAGTTTACATAAAACATGTAATCTCCATGTCACAAAGCAATAATTATTTAATTTTAAAAAGGATTTTCAGATTAGGTGAACACAGATTACATTAATTTATAAATGGCAGTTCACAGTTTTCCTCATCACATTCCTGATGATGAGGAAACACGTCATCAACACGGCAGCTCTTAATCTCCTTCAGCTCATAACAGGAGATCATGGGTTCAGAAACCCAAACACTGATCCTCGTGTTGTGCCAAAATCAACACATTTAAAGGAAATGTGATCGCTTTTGTCTCCGCCGGCGCGTCATCGCAAACAACAGGATCTCCTGCAGCACGGCGTCGGTTTCAACCAGCCCGCCGCCCCCCACGACCCCTCCATCAGGGTCGAGAGGGGGATCTGAGCCCAGTTAAACATGCACCATCACATCTGCCCACCAACCCCCCTCTGTGCACTAATAACAAGACACTCTGTGGACACACGCGCTCTTCCCCATCAGCATTCAGTGACCGGACAGGCAGATTTGTAACAGCCAAAAGTGCTTTTAGGTCGTCTGCTGTTCGAGGCACAAAAAGAACTGAGCGCCATTTATTATTGATCCACTGTTAACTACACCTCGCTCTCCCATCCCTGCTCTCCTCCCTTCCATAAAAATATAAAAAGGCATCAATCTTTCATGAGGCGGGAGTGGCCGCAGTTCGGTCGTTTGACGAACAAAACGTAAGGCTGTGTGCAGCTGGAAAACACATACTGACACAAACGCCTTCCATTAAATGAACAAACACATGCAGAACGTGTAGATTTATAACCTTTAGATCATCAAAGCACAAGTTTGAGTCATCAGAGCTGAAAATAACGTCGAAATTGTTAAAAAAAATCCATCTGAACCATAAATAATAACATAAAACAGCATGTTTTTAAAGCTGTATGCTGACATTTTTACTTGTTTACAACATAAATTATTAAAACTGATTTTTTTCCCCCAATCAAATTGATAAATCGTTTCAGCAGCACTTTGTAAGACCTTTCTATTCCTTTACTTTAACATCTTATTCAGATAATAGAGCCCACATTCATCCTTCTGCTTCCCCAATAATATTTTAATCAATGAATGTATTATTTTTGTGACTAACGTACGGTAAAATAATCATTTAGTCTCTAAAATGGCAAAAATTAAGTTATCAGGTCAAAATTCTGTCTTAAATTTGCTTATTTTGTTTGAAAAACAAAACTTTCAGCAAAAATCCTCCAATTTAAAGCTTAAACCATAAACATTTGACAAGTTTTACTCACATATAAAGGTTATGGATTATTAAAACTGTCAAAAGAAATTCTGCTGATCAACTAATCACTGATTGATAAATATCAACTCTAAGATCTTTTTAGAGCTTTATTCTGACAGACAGCTGAAACAACTAGAGACAGTAAAACCTTTTTCATTTGTGCTTTTTGCTCATTTATCCTTCTGATGACCGAACTGTTCTGTAAAGAATACATAACCAATGAATGTATTGATTACTTATGAGACTATGGAAAGGCAGCCACTCTTTTTTAAAGTCTGTAAAATAATGACAGCTGCCAATCGACAAGTCATCAGGAGCTCAAAATTTTGAGACATTAATGTTGCTGATTTTTGTTTTTAAAGAAACAGCTTGTAACCCCAGAATTGTTTTGACACTTTTTACTTAAATTAAAAGTCAATAACCATCAGGGTTTTGTTTCAGGTTTGATCGACTAATCACTGGAATTGAAAAATTGTTTTTTTCAGCAGCCACCGACTATCCCTTTTTTCGGATTTTACTTCAACATGCATAAAGTGAATCTCATCCAGTTACTTTTTTCCCTCATTTATCTCCGAGCTTTAATCTGTTCCCTCAGTGGGGAGTGAAATAAGCGACGCCAGTAAAGCGAGTCGGGAGTCCGAGCGACACACAACAAAAAGGGTTCGCTGACAGGCTCGAACCCACGGCGCCGATCCACCGCGACGCCCTGATATAAAGCCTTCTGTCCTGAACCCTGAGAGGCAAACAGATGGTGACAAACAGCGGGTGATGTTTTTACGTTCGGCACCGCTTCAACACGCGCGGTTACACAACGCTGTAAAAATGTTATGTTGAGATTAAATGTCCAGTTTCACACCGACCACACTGACCCTCCTCTCCCCGCTCTCGCTCTCCCGCTCTCCCTCTGCACGCTCTGGTTGTCCACCGTCTGTACATTTCTGTTCTTGGTTGTTTGAGGTAAGAACACACACTGTTATTAATCCAGTCACACACTCACTTAGTGGCTGTGTCATGAAGCCCTGATGGCCCAGAGGTTTAGGACACTGACCACGTTCTAACAGCAGCCCCGGTTAGTACCAGAGACACCAAATAAGATCCAGGAAAGTCCAGTTTGAGTAACAAATCCTCGTTTTATAAGGTTTAAAAGACAACTATGCACTGCGCAGCGGTTTATAAAATTATGAGGAAGACCTTTACTGCTGTTGAGAGTTATGACGGCAGCATTTTTTATCTCTGAGAGCAAAGATTTAAAAGCAAACTGTAGAAATATTGTGTTTACGTTATAAAGTAATCTAGCAGGAATGCAAAGTTGCACATATTAGCACGGCAGCACCTCGCTGGATGATTTAAAAGTTGAGCCTGGTTCAACCTTTTCTTTTTTTTGCCAGAGCCCCTTGTGTTGGCAGCGCACCCCCGACAGAGTGGTTTTATTGAAGTGAACGATGGGGACCTTTGTTGTGTGTCACTCCTTCACTCTCCTCTCATTTCCTGTCACCTCTCTACCATGAATTATCAAAATAAAAGCAAAAAAGCCCACAAAAGATTAAAAAAAAAAAAAAAAAACGGTATTTATGTGGGAGCCCTGTTGAAGCCATTCTTGGAAGTAAAATCAAGCAGGAAGGGGTTCAACCACACAAAGCTTTATCAATACATTTAATGAGACGAACAGTTGAACAGACTTAGATATTTGTCATTTCCGTTCCTCAGGATCAAATACTGACGGTTGCAAGCCAACATTTACAGTAAAATAGTGCCCGAACAAAAAGTTGATAAAACAAATTAGAGGATTAGTTGTTTAACAGAAAATGATAATGAATTAATCCTTTTATGACAAACTTTTCTCATGAAAATAAAGGATTCGCTGTATGTTTGACTGATGAGCTGACAATGTAAGCACTGTGAAGACATTATTAGGGTGATAAGAATGTTTTATGGGCTTTTTCCACTTCAAACGAAATAAAATTTTAAATTAAACTTGAGTTGCAGCCCTTATCTGATCTTATATTTATGAGATTTTACTCATGATAATGCCATCTCACTGCATCTTTCTGTTTCTGTCTAGAAGGCAGCATAAAAGCAACAAAGAAAAGGGTTGTAAAGATGGTAAGTATCACTATATAAGTATCACTTCAAGTTATATGACTTCTAAACAGTAATTTAAACACTCGGAAGCTGCAGGGAACGCCGGCTGTGGGAGGAACCCAGATTATAATTCTGGTTTCATTCTCGGTTCAGAGACGACTGAAGGGTTAATTATGAACTCCGGTCAGCGGAGCCTTCAGGACCGAGTTGACCGCTTTGGAAGCCATGTTAACAAACTGGCTGCTGACGAGGAGGAGGATGAAGACGAGCTCTGTAGTGAGCCTGAGGTCTCCTCACTGTCATTACACTCTGCCTGTGATCCCGCTCTGCCCATCATTATACTGAAAATACTCTCCTGAGCGCTCACAAACTACAGAGGAATAAATCTGAGCTGGTTTTCAGTGCGACAGCAGAAACGCAGCTGCTCAAGAAGCAGGAACTTTATCTTTGCTGATTACTAGACAGAACCAGCGGCTCTGAACAAACAGACAAACATCTTTAAAAAGGAGCCAGATTGTCAGTCTGAGACAAACTGCTTTTTTTTTTTTTTTTTAAACTCAGCGACTTTGTAAAGTCTTTGACGCGCTCTGTGCTGTCCTACATATCAGGAAACAAACCTTATTGACACCTGGGGAGGATGAGAAACAACAAACCAACGAGTGTATGGGAATACTTTGTCAGGTATGTTGTGCAGTAAACAGAGACGGATGATTCACCACATAATACAACCATTAAGGTCGAGAACGTAAACCTGCTGGTGATCCAGTCATACCACCGCAGTGATGCACAGCTGTCCCGATTACGCAACCTGTCTTGTGATCAATACGAAGCAGCTTCAGGACAAATGACACAGTTTAAAAGGAGGAAGGGGAGAGATCACACCTACAGTTAGAGTAGAAAACCTCCCCGTGCAGCATTTTCCTGTTTAAGTTGCCTCAATTACAACTGATCCAGAGGCTTGTAAATAAAGTCCCGTGGGCTTCGTCATTAGATCATTTTACTGCCTGTTTCTGGTTAAACTTCCATCCCACCAGGTCAGAGACTTTCAGGTGAGTCACAACAAACCGGATTACAGCCTCTGCAACAGCGGCTAAGAGTGATGGATGTCTGTGCACTTCCTGTAATTGACCCCCTGGTGTTTGTTTCAGTTAAGAGAAGGAAGAAAAATATCCAGGCTGCAGTTTTAGTAGTACATTCTGTTACACCCGGCGCAGTTTTTTGGTCTGAAGCTCGACTGTTATTGTTCCCATCTGGACAAACAAAATCAACCTGAGGGAACAAACACTGGTTTGTATTAACTGCTCCAATCACACCCAATTTAGGACACTTTACGGAGAGGTTAGTCTGAAGAGACGCCAGCAGACTTTAGACTTTAACTTTTGCACCAAGCTTTTGAATTTTCTCAGTGCAGCTTTGTTGCCTTTCGTGGACCATTAATATGAGTTTCCCTTCGTTACCAGTTGCGTTTCTACATCAGTTGCAGTTGGATCAATAAGTAATTTCAGAGATTGTTTCTTAGATTGTTCTGTTTTAATGTTTAGAGCCCTGAAGACGTAAAACTACACAATATTTCACAATAACACAATTTTGTGAGGCAGAATTTCTACTCTGGAAATAATTTTGTTACTGATCTGGTAGATTAATCAATGCAGCTGGAAACCATCTGATAAACAGCCAATACAATACTTTCCTTGCCAATTACAAAACAATACCTTATTTTCTTCCAATCCGAGAAGTTTTTATACAAAACGTTTCTCTCTTACAAAAGAAGCCAAACTTTAACAACATATCAGCGCTAAATGCCGCCTTAACATAGCAGTCTGTAAACCGTTAATCAATTAAACATCAAACTCTCTGGTTCCAGCTTCTCGAATGGGAAGATCTGCTCCTTTTCTGTCTTATAACATTGTAGATTTAATATATTTAGACTTCATCTATTCACAATATCTATTTTAGTCTGCTGCTTGGACATAAAAAGCAATTCAAAGATGTCACCTTGAGCTCTGAGAAACAGTGACGGGCTTTGTTTTTCTTTAGTTTATATAGACTTTTATAGAATTGATTAAATAAAAATTACTATAAAAATCAAAAACAGTAATCAGAAGTACTATAAAAAATAACCTGGAACTAGTTTAAAGATGATTTAAATCACAATATATCATTAAAAGTTCAATACAAAGCCAAATTCATGAATGTCAATATTTGGTTTGTCATATGATAAAAGTTATTTTTTAATTAAAACATCAAGAAAAGCTTATTTTCCCTGTTAAAGTGACGTTTAAGGCTTTTAAAATCTGCTCTACAACCACTTTAAGAAAAGCGAAACCTCAGCACAGGGAGCGCAGGTCGACCCAGAGCATTCGACACACGCTGTTTACATTTAATCAAATGTCACACTCCCTTCCCCTGACCTTCGACCCGGACGACAACAAGACAAGACCTCAGCATGGGGTTGAACCAGGACACGGGGAAGGAGAGGAGAACAGAGTGGGAGCTGAGAGCAGTCTGCCAGAAGCCAGTGACAGATGTGAACGTCGACTCAGCTCCTCCAAACTATTAAGAACAGAGGCTGAAAATAAACATTTAGGCTTCAGAGACGATATCCCCCGCTATCAGCCTCTCGCCAATTCTTCCAGTTACATAAGAGGTCAGGACACAGCGGTGCCGGCTCTGATGCAGGTTGGCTGTTGCAGCAGCAGCAGCTCAGAGCAAAGAGGAGAATAGAGGAAAATAAACACGAGATCCTTCAAAACTCATCTGAACATGAACATCTGATACACATTGCCTGCTGACGTCCAGTCAGTAAATGTTTTAAAAGGATTAGGCTGGCATTTTCTGTATGTTTCCTTTATTGCCAAAAGAAATCTGTGTGTGCTTCCCCAGCCTGTCTGCGGCTCTCGAAGCCCATTGGTTCCCACTGAAGACGTAAATCTTTTAAAAAAAACAGGTCACAAAAGTGTCATTTTTGAGGCTCAGTAATTTGGGGCACTGTAGTTTTTAGCAAATGTTACTCAAATGGGAGTAGCTGGAGCGTTTGTTGAGGACTATTTTAAGCAAATTAAAAAACACATTTGGTGCTGTAGCGAGCATCTATGGAAATAGTGCAACAGTCTGGCTCATTTATGTAGTTTGTTAATAGTTTCTGGGTGATTACAGGAGGTTAAAAGGAAAAGTCAGATTTGTGGCTGATTATAAAGAACAGTGCAGAGCTTTGAGAAATGCGCTTATTTGCTTTCCAGCCGAGAGTGAAGATCGATAGCACTCTCATGTCTGTTCGATATGAAGCTACAGCCACCAGCCAGTTAGTTTAGCTCTTTGTCCAGAGGTAACAAAATCCACCTACCAGCACCTCTAATGCTCATTAATTTACATGTTATATCTCCAACACGAGCAATACTAATATCTTGTGGTTTAGTGGGGGTTATGTGCCGCACTATTTCATATCCTGTCACTGTGAGGTTGCCCAAACTAGTTTTCACCCCCAATGTTTCCTGTCTTTATGCTAAGCTAAGCGGCTGCTGGCGTTTCGCTTTCTGTTTACATTACAGACACGAGAGTGGTATTAACCTTCTCATCCAACTCTTGGCATGAAGTCGAATTTTCCAAAAAATTGTCAAAACTATTCCTTTTAACATGAGTGACCCTCACAGACATGAAAACCCTTCAAATAAGCCACAAATCTTTCCCACGTCAGGATTTCCTTTAATCCCGAGCATTCAACCCAAAGAAACACAGAGCTCGTCTATAAATAGAACCACATGACAGGAATGGGAATATTTAATGTGTCAATCATGAAAAAAAAGCACTATAAAAAGTACTGAGATGTAGTTTGAGAGTCAAGTCCTTAAAATAAACATTAAAAGAAAATCTAAATCCCTGGTGAACGGCAGGAAAAACAACCTGACAAATTCCTCAAAGAGAGTTTTTTTTTCTCCTTTTCTTTGACTGTGACAAAGCAGTAACCTAAAAACAACAAGGATTGCCGACAAAAGCCTCACGCTTTGTGTTTCGGTGAACGGCCCTGTCATGACTCAGTGTTTTTCTGTCAGCGTAGTGTCACAGCCAACGCCAAAGGGCCCGGGCCTCCGAGATACAAAGGCCAGAATCAATGGAGCTTTGGAAAAACTGATGGAAAACCACTAGCCGATCGCTGAGAGGGACGAGAGAGAGAGAGAGAGGGAGAGGGACAGAGAGAGAGACGAGTGGCGGGGGCCGGCTGGACGTCGACACCAGACACATCATTGTCGTCACCACCAGCAGCAGCCGCCACCGCCGCCGCACGCTGCCCCGTCCCCTCTTCTTTCTGATGAGACAAAAAAGCCTCCGGAGCTGCAGCAGCTGAGTCGATATCACTCTGACTTCCCCGAAACCACTTCCAGGCTGAGAGACGGAGCCAAAATGTACAGCGGCACAGATCAAAACAACCACACGCACACACACACACACAGCGCTCACACACATACACAGACTCCCTAATGAGTGTACACAGAATAGGGAAACAGGGTTATGGGCAGCTCGTTCTCAACTCACTGACTTCAAACTGTAAAGTGAAACTGCTTTTCACTGGGTGGCAAAAGGGGGCATTCAATCTCAGCCTCTGAAAATTTGCATTTTAAAAGCAAACCTGCTTCCTGATTTGGTTGATTTAACAAGGAAGAACAAAAACCGTCACTCCCTGTTGCAATGACAACCGAGCAGCATGAACGGGGAAGAAGGTGGAAGAAAAATCACATTTTTAGTTCCTCTTGGAGGCTAATAGATCAGAAAAATACCATTAACCACAGTTTCCATCAAGAAGTGTCCAAATGGGACAAATCGAAATCTTAAAAAGCCTTTAAAAAAAGGCCAAAATACTTAAATCCACTCCTTTTTCCTGAAGCGGCTCAACAGAAATGCTTCAAACTAACACTAACTAACACACTAACTAACACACACAAATCTCCTTGTTTTTTTAGGCCTCGTGTTTGATCTGAGAGAGTCAAAACTTCTCATGCGAAACCTAAGTGGAACAGTGGATGCGGAGCTGAATCATCTTCTCCGCTGCAGAAAGCATCACACTGAAATAATAAAAAGCTCTTAACTCTATATGGAGAACACATGCTCACTTCCCAGCATGCCCCGCGCCCCGTTTACACAATTAATACTCAATCTGTCGTGCTTCATGAATTTGTAAACGAGTTCTGCCACAGCGTGAGGAGAGAGAGAGAGAGAGGGGGAAGAGGAAAGAGGGGTGAATTACCTTCTGAAGGCTGTTTGGGTTCAGCTGCGTCTTGTCTATTATCTTAATTGCCACCTGTGGAGAGAGAGAGAGAGAAAAAACAGCATCGAAAGTGAGCTAAATGGGACATAACAGCAGGGGAGAAGTGTGAAAAAGAGGAAGTGGAATATGACACTGAAATCCAAAAGCAAAAACACACAGAAAAGAAAACCGACACTGAATTCAATCTTTTTCAGATGAAAAACAATATTTTTTTAACACTTTAAAGCCAGTTTCCACTTCCTCCTCAAAATACGACAAAAAAATTGCAACTGCCGAATAATTAATAACAGAACCAGGAGGGGATAGAGGAGGAAAAAGTGCACCGTGGTTTCGTTAAATGTCGTACGCCGTGTTATGAAGACGCTTGCTCTTTCTGCTCATCAATTATGAACAGATCAAATGCTCAGCAGCGGCGGCAGCTCGCCCTGAAAACATCCATTACTGCCAACAAGGTTTAGAGCGATGAACCTGTCGCTGTGTGGAGCTGCCGGGTTTGAAACTTACCCGCTGCCGGAGCCAATAGCACCAAAAGGTTTGGAAAAGATACCTCACGAGGAAGATACAAGACATAAAAACGCTATATTTTCTGAACAAATCTGATGGGAATGCCAGCTTCTAGTACTTGACAGTTTTCTCACTTTACATTTCAGTCAGTACAAAAGAAGTATTGAGATATGTCAGCTCATCATCATCATCATCATCATTCCCTGTCAGAGACGAGCTCAGAGAGAGACGATGTGTAAACCCCATTAAAAAAAAGGGGCTGCAAACTCTTTTTTGACGTCAGTTAACTGGTTTTGTAGCGTTCGTGTCGTGTGTAGGGAAGGTGGTCTAACTTATTTACACTGAACGTCAAAATGTGGTAAAACTTTAAGCAGAGATGTGTTCAAACTGGCACAAAACAGATGTGTAAATCCAGCTGTTGGTGCATCACAGACACAAGGAAAGGTGGGTTTTCTCTCTGTGTTGTGGAAAGATTACACACACCTGACTCCTCTAAGTGTGTTTTAATTTACCTACTTTATTTCTGTTAATCCAAAAACACAATATTCTTAACCATATTCCTCTGATTGAAGTTTTGGTTGTTCAAATTCATCAGTTTTATCAATTAAAACACACATTCAACCTGATTTTTAAAGGACAAGAATGTGAGCTGAACTCCTTAAAAACTTGACGTCACTGTGCGCCGCCGGCTCACCTCTCTGCCGGTGAGGATGTGTCGGGCCAGTTTGACCTTGGCGAAGTTGCCCTTCCCGATGGTCTTGAGCAGCCGGTAGTTGCCGACGTGGGGCTGCTGCGCCTCCTCGGAGCTGCGGGATCGCACGCCGGTCCGGCCCGAGCGCGTGGTGATCTCCTGACGGCCATTACTGTGAGACGTGTGCTGCGGGAGAGACACATTTGTTTTTTTTAGACGAGTGCCGGCGGTTGAGTCGTTCAGAAACAGCTAACATGCACCAGCCGTGACTCATGTTGACCCGCTGTGACGTATCCACTCGGGCTCTGCAGGAAAAAAATGCTGATATTTATAGTTCTGCATCCAGACAGAGAAAGTAGGCTTCTCTTCCAGCAGGCACAGATGGCTGATAAACTCCAGTTTCACCATTTCATCATGCAAATATCAGAGCCTCAAAACCAGAGCGTTACACCTTACTTGCTTACTTCTAAAAACCTTTCTTTAAGTTAATTAAGGTGATAATTCTGTTGCTTAACTGTTTAATCAATTGATATATTAAATGTCAGAGGTCTTCAAAAGGTTTGTTCTTGCAGCTCTTAACCTGAATATATTCAGTTTTCTATCGTATAAGAAGAAGAAAAGCACAAAATCCACACATTTAAGGGACTGGAAACAGTTAATTTTCTTATTTTCTTCTGACGAATTGTTTCAGCTCTAAAATAAATCATTTCCAGAGCAAACTGCCACAACACTGCAGCTTCACTGGTAACATTCGCATGAACGTAAAGTAAAATGAAGGCAAACAGACTTTAGACGTGTGCAGAGTTGATTTCTGATTAAAAATTGGGTTCAGTTTTCCCACCCAGGACTCAGTGACGAGACTCGCCCCCACACACACACACACACACACACACACACACACACAATGAAGGTCACGTTCACACACGTGTAATTGACAACTGAACTGAAAAAATGTGACCTGGTTGAAGAGCAGAAATCTGTACTCCACTTCAACACCGAAAACCTGCTTTTAAATGTGGTTGTAGTGCAACGTAAAGCACCTTTAAGTGACTCCGTGCTGAGACGGTGACATGAAGAAAACCTAAATTTAACATCTATACGTCGAGACAGCAGATATGTCATATCCTGTGGGCATGCAGACTTTGTGAAAACAGGATGTATAGCAGAGCATTAAGCAACAAATAAGGCCTCAAAAAGTCACTTCCAGAACAGCAGCCTGGTTCAAACACTGTTCTGATTTATACCCGAAGAGTTTAACGCAGTCTGTGAAGCACATCTCATCCAGTGATTAGTTCACTTAGAGTTAGAGTTTGTTGTGTTAAACATGAGCAACAGTGTTAACTGATCTTAGCTGTAACCCTCACAGAGTCTGAGAGGGATTTTAAGAGATAAACATGAATATTTTTAGAGGTTTAAATGATTTTAACTAACTTTAACTTTAACTAACTTTAACATGTGTAACCAGAGAGTTTTGGGGGGAAAGCACTTCTCTGTGTCTCAACCACTAACACAAAATAATCTGATAGATACTCGGTGCGGCCTCGGTATCGACTGACCGACTGACGCCTCCCTCTGCCCCGCCCGGGCTCAACCCCGTCCCCCCATCCACAAACCTAACTGACCCGTTCACTCTGGAGACAATGACAATTAACTATACGAGTTTACACTTAGTGTTTCATATAAAACCCAGAAAGGAGGTCAAATATTTATCTCTACTTTTCTTTTCACTCCACGATCCGATTAAATGTCACATAATTAACGCTTTAAATACATCACGCGGCGACGAATCAAACAATATAAAGTCACCATTAGGTAAATCAACACCACAGACGTTAAAAATCTCCATATGAACTATTTTAGGAGACTTTAAAAAAAGCCATAAACCACAATAAGGTCACTTTAAACTCTCTCCTAGGCAGCACACACACTTTAAGTCACTAAAGGAATATTTTAGGACTTCTACAGTGATAGCAGTGGAGATAAAAATACCACCAACTGGGATAAGGTCACTGTTGAACACACACACACACACACACACACACACACATATAAAAAAACACAGCCTGTGGGAACACTAAACTGTTTTCCACGATATCATCTGCTAATCATAAAGGACACAGACGAATCTACATTTTCCACAAAAAAAAAAAACACCATTTCCATTTTTTCCGGCTCACAACTTCCTGTAAGTAAAAAAGAAACCCCCCTGCCCCCCCCCCGGTTTAATTTGATCCTTTCCTTTTCGGTGGTTACTCACAAGGCTGCGGTGTCTCCTGGCTGCCTGGGAGCCCGTCATGTTTGAACAGGAAAACACTCTGCCCCGCTGATGATGCCCATAGAGATTCCCACAACACCAGATTTTCCCAACTCAGAGCCCAGATAACCACAGAGAGACCAGAGACAGCAGGAGGGGAGGGGGGGACGGGAGGGGAGGGGGGGACGGACGACTCACTGATCTCTAATCAATGCTACAGAAATAAGCACCAAGAAACCGGAAGCCAAGAACAATCGTTTCAGATTAAAAGCATTTAAACAGCTGCTCTGTCAGCATTCAGGGAGATCATCTTGCTCCAGTGCTGAAACGTGTTAAAATACACCTTTAATTCTGTTTATTTATGTATCAAACTGTTGATTACTATCTCGAGTCATGTATATAAAGCATTGGAAAAAGCTGGGAAGTGGCCATCACAATATCCTCGACCACAAGGTGACGTCAAAATGTACCACATATAAATACAAGACCAGGAAAAGAAGCACATTTACGAACCTGAACCATCAAACATTTGGCATTTTAGGTTGAAAAATGACTTAAATAATTACCCGATAATCTAAACAGTTACCACCAAATGCTTTTTATCCAAACAAATTGTTGTTTCTTCCGTTTTCTTATTACATTTACCGGTTTCAACTTTTTTCAGGCTACTGATTCTTTACATTTTGCCTTCAGACTTCTCCTGCAGGGATCAATAAAATTTCACCACATCTTATCGCCCGCAGAGCTTTGTTTGAACAGGATCAGTCTTATCTCCAGCTGACTCTCTGCTGCTGCTACCGCGATGAGTCATGAGATTGTCATCGTATCACATGTGGACGATAAGCGGCTGCAGATACGCCGACGGGGAGATGGGGAGGAAAGAATATATATTATTATATATGGTGAAGATTAAACAAAAGAAGGAGATAAGTACAGTGTGAATTTATACAACACTGAAACGCTAAAAAGCTTTTAAAAAAATGGGATTACGGCATTAAGGGAATCTACAAAGCAGCTGTGGGAAGTTTTAGGTAAAGTAAATTAGCATCTTAAAGGCAGATTAAGGTAATTAAATGTGTGTGGATCACATTTCTCCCATTTCCTGTCACAAGAGTTAATGTTCGATAGATCAGATGATCCACGGCTACTTAAAAAGGCCATTTATCAGGTTAAAATGCCAAACGTTTGCAAAACTCTGAAGATTTGCTGCTTTTCTCTTAAATTCTCTGGAAACTTGTGTCCGACATTTAACACCATTTTCTGACATTTTACAGCCTCAGTGGTTCATTCAGTTTATCAAAAAGTAAGCGACTGATTAATCAGTGCAGCAAATTAACTGCTTAAACTGAAATCACAGTTATAATACAAACATTTAATGGGTGAAGCTTCTCAGATTTTTATCGTTGTAAAACATATAACTGAAAAATGTGATTGGGGGGGGATTCTGTATAGATTTTAATGAATTATGAAGCAAAAATTACCAAAATATCCAGTTACAGCTCCCTTCGTCTTCAGATTTTTTTGATTTCCCGTGTTTTATATAATTGTTGAGTATCTTCAAGATTTTGTAAAACATTAACCAGCATTTAACCACTATTTTCTGATTTAAAAAAAAGACAGATAACTATAATAATAATGAGATTAATTGTTGCAAGCTGTAATGAAATGAATGGAAAATATTATTAACAAATTATTTTATTATTATGTATTTGTATATCACTTTGGCCTTTGGTAAATAGAGTTGTAATTTATACATATTTTAATTTCTGTTTGTTAAAAAGTTAGAAAATAATAATATAAAGATAAATTGTTTAGTCGACATCCCGCGTTGGAGATTAGTTTAATTTTGAAAATCCCGACCGGAAGCTACATTGTCGCTTTGACAACGCTCCCTCAGACCGGATGTTCTGTTAGCCACAAGGGGGCGGGACTAACGAAGCCCATATTTGGAAGCTGAACGGTTGAAACATTTGAGTGACAGCTGGAACAGCCAATGGCGAGCCCGAACACAAACTACTGTTGCCTGCCAGAACCAGCAGGCAAAGTACTGTAGTTTTGTTCGCGGTTTGGGCCTAAATACCCCGACTACATCCTAATTACCCCCTTAGTCACATCAAAACGTATACATAAAATACAAAAATACATAATTTACGTGCGAATAAATCAGAAAACAGACATTAAAATAAAAATTAAAGGGCGTGTTTGGCGTAGAGGATACGCTTGTTTACGGTTTACCAACAAAGTGTAACCCCCTGTGCTTTCATCCTGTCCTATAATGCAACAATATGAGCTAAATATCCACCGTTTTATAGAATAAACGTATTTATAAAACACACAAGCAAAGTGCAAACCCAACAAACAAACCCTTTATACTTACACTTTCCGTCACCTTCTCGTTGACGGTAGGTAAAGGAGTTTTTGTTGACATCTTTTAATCGTCCTTCTTGCACCAGTCGCCGTCCAAAATCCACAAAATACAAATAAAATAAAAAACCCTTCTTCAGTCCGATAAAATGAAAGTATTGCTTTGCTTTGCAGCTCTCTCCGGAGGGAACTGTCTCAGCATGGATCGTGACTATTTCCAAAAAAAAAAAAAAACCCAGACCGGACGTGTTAGAGCCGAGCACCTGAACAGAAATAATATATATATATATATATATATATATATATATTAAAAAAAAAACTAAAAAAAATAAATCCCTATAATAATCTAATCGATATCTTACATGGCGCGTACATACCGTTCATGGCCTGTGTTCAAACAACTCGACAGGAAAAAATCAGTGTCCGTCTGTCCGTTTTTGGGTTTGAGTCCCTGAAGCTAACTGAAGTAAAAGACGCTGTCGGTCGCCACAAAGAACAACTGTCTATAAAGCGGCCGCCATGGCGTCGAGTGGCACCAGTCGGTATTTCTTGGGGGGGTAAAGGGGTCGGGGAGGGGGGGATCAGAAAGGTTTTCGTTTTAGGTGGCTGAAATACTCGCCGTCGACTCGGTTTCTTCCATCTCCAACGGCCCAAAGTGAAGCTGCTCTGTCGGTTTTAGGTGGGACCAAAATGGCTACTCAGCGGCTGGGCTGGATTAAGCTGCCTTCACGGACCCCTCCCAGGCTCCGACGTCAGAGTGCTATCATGAGCAATCGAGACAACGCTGACATTGTTGAAGCGCGGTGTTTTCAGCTAGTTACTCGAAAATATGTAGTTTATTACTTATTGTTAGTGATGATATTACTTCCCCCGGTTACTAGTGGTGTAATTAATTACTAATATATTCAACAATCCTTGGATTTTACTCCCATTTGCACTGGCTACTGTGTTATAAATTAATTTTATTTTAAGTTAATTTAATTAAATTGTTTTATTTTATTTTAATGTATGTTTAATGTATGTATGTTCTGTGTGCTACTGGATATTTGAATTTCCCTCGAGATAAATAAAGTATCTATCTATCTATCTAGTTTGTAATCGTGGAGGAAACTACCTTTAGCTGATGTAAATTCTTCAACATTCAGCGATTGGAAATATAAACATTACTTTGATTTTAACAAACAAAACTGGATTTTAATCGTCATAAATCTGATTTCTTGGGTTAGAAGTGGACTAACAGAGAAGTAGTAGAGTAACTAATTACTGTTGGTGGGGAGTGATAAGTAAAGTAATGTTACTTTGGAAAACAGAAGATAATATTGTGTAATAAATAAAAACATTTTGACTTACTAGCACAACACTGTTCATTACTCATTACTCTTCAAATGTAATTACTTATTCAAAAGTTTTCATATTGGCAGATATCGGCTGACATATACACCGATAATGATATGATACCGATGTGTCGGCAATAGGCCAATAATATACATAATTACTGTATATAGAGAGAGTAATCATTGGCATTATAATGTGGCTATTACTCACATATCATTGTGACAATATTATAAATATGTAATTATCACTGCTACATTAAAGTGATAGTGATAACCTGGGCTAGTACTCCCTAGTTAGCCATCCAATATTGTGTTCATGTAGGGGCCAGAAATACCTCCTCTCTGTTGTAATTGTTCATAATTGGCTATTTTTATCATTTCTACTCACTATTCATTAAAAGGGTTTATATTTTTTGTTTTCCAGAGCCTAAGAGCAATCCTACAACCTGTCAGGGTCAATCGGACCATACAATTCAACATGTTATTGAAATAAATGTACAGAAATGTTCTTAAAGGTCCAGTTTGTGACACTTAAGGGGATCATATTGACAAAAATGTGAACAGGTTTGTGTTCAATCACCTGTAAATGAGAATTGTTGTTTTGTTACCTTAGAACGAGCTGTTAATATCTACAGAGGGAGCGGGTCCTCTTCTATAGAGACCGCCTTGTTTCTACAATAGAACCTTAACGTCCTGCTCTCATTCATTAACATGACGTCCAGTTAATGCAGCATAACTCCTTCACACTGGTCCTTTAAAGTATCACAGGTAAACATACTCCTCCTTTCAGTGTTATACAATAATATATTATTATGTTTTTATCACTGATAAATACACGTGAGAGTATTTTAATGTTATTATATATAAGCACATTGTGTGTTTTTTTTATGTAAAAAGTAACTATAAGTCAAATAAATGTAGGAAAGTACATTATATTTCCCCAGAAATGTGGATTAGAAGTAGAAAGTAGACTTGAATATTTCCATGTTATGCTACTTTATACAATATACAAGTATGTCAGTTGTACTTATAGTCAATTTTTTTCATTAGTGGATCAAAATATCTGAATTTATTCTGTAGAAGTCGAATATAATGTCAAACTATTCAATTCAGAAACAAGGAGCTTTTGATGTTTGCGAAACTATTCAGCATATGTTTGCTATATTTTTACTTTATGAAGGAAAATAATTTACAAATATCTGAATTGTCGACTAATCGTTTGTTCAATGTTACAAATACAGTGAACAGTGAAGTCTCATTAAATTAAAGAGCTCAAGGTGACGTCCACAAACAACAATATTAATATACTACAGTATTTCTATTCAATATTAAATTCACAGTCATATAAAAAAGTAAATTCTCACAGTGGAGAAGTTGGAGAATGTTTTTAAATTATGACCTGATTATTGCTGCTGAGTCACTTTCTGTCACTTTATGGTTGCAGCTCAGAATCAATTAACTTAAAACATTATGACACAAAAAGACTCTGACAACAGTTTCTGGTTTTATTGAAGGAATCAGGAAATAGAGTCAGTTTATTCTTTTATTGATTTATTTATTTGAGTAAAGTTACCTGAATGAGTTCAGTTCAGTCATTAACTGAGAAAAATCACTTCATTTACTGCCATATTTTTATTTAGTTATTACTTATTTATCAGGGATGTATTGATTACTAAGCAAAATGCGCACAGTTGTTGAAACAAAACATAACTAATAGTTACAGAAAAACAGAAAAATATAATCAATAAAAATGAGGTTATAAAAAAAGTTACTGACGGCAACGTTTTGATTTTTCTGTGACTTATTGGACTTATTGTCACTTCCAAAATGTTACAGAAGCAGTTATTGATCGAGTTTAAGTCAGCATCAATAATAGATTTTAGTGGTTATTGATCGGGACATTGCATTAGTCTGAAAATAACCTGCTGCTTTTACATATCTTCTATCTAAAATCTTACATAAATAAGATTATTAACGGGTGGTTGAGGGGTCCACATACACACATACATATCACACATGATGCTTTAAAGCTGTTTCTGATGTTTCTTAGACTGAACTGGTGGTTAAAAACTAAAATGAAAGACATTTATTATCCACCAGGAACCTGAAACCACCATCACAGTTTGCACAGGATAATTTATAATTAAAAAGTGAATTTAAGAGATTAAATTGCAATTTTGTGCTTTTTATTAAATAATCAGACAGTTATAGAAGTTTGCTTAACAGCTAGTCAACAATCCCTCGTCTGGGTGGAGTTATGTTGGGGGAATTAAGACTCCTGATTTGTAAAATCCTGGATATAATCCTTTTCAAAGCCTGTGTGTGTGCTTGTTCTCCCTGATTTCACTCAGATTTCCTCTGATTTTGTTTTTTAAATTATGACACAGTAAATTGAAAACAGTTGCCAGTAAGTTCATACACCATTACAGCTCCAAATATGCTCAATTCCCACTGTCAGATTGTGAGGATTGTTTGTGTTGAAAGGTTGACGCCAATATTTCCAACGGCGCTTGAACGCTGCATGAGTCGTCCAGCTGAAGGAGTGGAGGAAATGAGGAAACCGCAGAGGACAGAGGGGAGGAAACCTCTCTGTGGGGACTCATTTAGGCTTCAAAGGGAAACATTTCTTTATTTATTTCACAATATCAAATATTAAAAGGGAGGAAACACAGAAAAACCTTAATTCTTCCAATGAAACTGTGACTTTAGGACGATATTAAACACAGTGGTGGCATGTAACTGAGTATATTAACTCAGGTATTGTACTTAAGAACAAGTATGAGTATTTTCTTTTACTACATTTACAGCTTTAGTTACTTTGTTTGAACAAAGAGCTTATAAAATATGATGTTTTGTTATAAATTAAACTACCTAAAAGTGTATAGTCGGTTAATCAATTAGAAAATACGGAAAATTAAGTATTTTTCAGTTTCACAATGGTTTTAATAATTTAAATATATTTGTAATAAACTTGTTGGTTGCACTGTGCAGCATTGTGAAGGTGTCACATTGGGTTCTGGGTAATTGTGAGGGCATTTCTCACTATTTTAAAAAATCAGTTGATTAATAGAAACAAATAATCAGCAGATGAATCCATAAAGAAAATAATTATTAGTCTACACAAAATAGTTCAAAAAGAGCTCCACCTCAACCAGCTGCAACAGTAAAACCCTTTTACATTAAAGCAGGAGTCATGATAATCTAATTATATCAGTGTATAACAGTGACAGTGTGATATTAGTACTTAACCATTAGTAAAACAATCAGAAGTTCTATAATTAACAGTCTTTTTGTATCCAAACAACACAAAGAGGATTAAAGTCCTTATTCATCAACAAATGACTCATTATTCTCACTTTTATCTCTATTGTACAAGTCAAACATATCCCTGGATACATTTTGTCTATTTCCTGTTTAAGTTACCTTAAACGTCCAGATTTTACTACAATTAAATGTCTTAACTACTTTACTTTGTGCTCCAAACTGTCCTGTTATACAACCTCCTAATATTCACCATTTATACAACTTTAATCCAATCCTGTTAATTAACAGCTGTTTTTATTAAGTTATTCTACAGAAAATCTGGTTGTTGGACGATTAAACATTCAGGCTGTCGTTAGAAAACAAGGCGTTGATTTGTGGATGAATCTGATATTTAATGTCACATTATATAATTAATCCTGTTTTGAACCATAAATAAATCTTATAGAAGGGAAAAACGGCTGCAACTGGTGATTATTTTAATTATCAATGAATCATGAAGGACATAATATGAAGTCTGCTAACAAAAACACATATAACAGATAAACATCAAATGTTGACATTTGAAAAGCTGGAAGCAAAGAATTGTTGGTATTATTGCTTTAAAATACTTATAAATTAATTATTTAAGCTCCAATTTGAAAGCTTTTACCTGTCCTAAGACTATCTGCAGCCTCCATATAGACGGTGTAAAACCTGCATAAGGAGGTAAAAGGGAGCATCAAACACAAACAACCAAGTGTGGTGGATAGCAAAACATTCATTCTTTTTATTGACTGGAAAAATACAGGGACCACAAAAAAAAAAAAAAAAAAAGTGCAGTCAAAATGATCCCCAAACACCCATGATTAAAATCCCCAAAGACTTCATTTCATCAACTTAATACATCTCAAAATTACAGAGTTAATGTGCAGCAAGTAAAGCGCTATGTTAAGTCATGCCACAAAGCAGAGGAGGGTTGTGGGTCGGGGGAGGAAGGGGGGAGAGAGGGTGAGTAAAGGAGGGAAAGGCCAGCCATTTAGGTCGTACGGGGCATCGTGAGTCAAAGCCACAACACAAGAAAAAGCGGCATCGTCG